TTTTAATCACATTTTATGATCCTTTATTGTACGCGATTCATATTTTGGGATTTTTTTTGTCCAAAACAAAATTGTTGTTTGACGTTTAAGCCCGTCTATTAAGAAAATATCCTGTCATTTCATCAGATTTGAGTACAATGTCTAACACTTTAATACATGGTAAATAGATTCCTCTATTGTAGTAAATCTACGTGCATTTATGATTTTATAACATCCTTTAATTTGCTGGGCACCAATAGACCTTACTTCTGGCCCAAGTGGCCCTTAGGCTGAACCGCTTACCATTACTTCTGATCCACCCACGCCCAAGTTCAAAGATACTCCTTCTGTCATTCAGTTGATCCTTGTCCGCAAATCAATGATACCAATCAGACATCTTGAGGCTTGTTATCATGTGCATGGTATAGCGTGTATCTGCTGAATCACCCTGTCAATAATGCTTGATCTTTAAATAAACATACCTTGTTGGAACAATTCTGGATTTTCATTGCAAAGATCACTGTAAGTACTAAGCTAAAAGCCCTAATCACACAAAGGGTTAAGGCTCGTTTATTGTCGTAATAACAGTGCCCTACATTGATCGATTATCAAAGGATAATGACGTTCTTTATTGCACCGAATGCTTGAACCTTCTCATTTTCAATTTAACGTGCATGTGAGGCATTGCTACTGTTGGAAACATCGATGGTTAATAATTTCCCCGGGAACAGTACTGGACACAGTACAGAACAGTGCTTAAATGTTTTCACTGTGGATATACAGATCTTTATAACATTTCTTTATAAGAAGCTTTTCACTGTTTCATTTCCATGACTTGTTCATGTAGATTTAATTCGCATGAGGGTAATGTAATGTACACTTTTAAGTCATCACTTAGCTGATATGTGTACAAGTATCAACAAATAAAGGATCGGTCACAAAACAGTTGAATTTCAGCAACATTAGTCGCGGAGATGAGTTGGATAGGTGACCTTCATGATACATCTGGGAGCTACTACAGGTCGGTGATATAAATCGATTCCTCTCTGAATTTATAACCGTATTAAGGTTTCTTATGAACAAGAGTGGCATTATGCTTTATGCAATGGTTAAAAAACATAGCTATATTCTTCGTTTAAAACAGCATGAATGTACACTTTAACACTGTCAAAATTTCGAAATGCTGAAGCTCGCCTAAGGTGTGGCTCCCACAAGCTAGCAATAGAAAAGGGTCGATATATTAAGCAGGATAGACCAGACAGAACGTGTTTAGTTTGTAAAAAGCCTTATATCGAGAATGAATGTCATTTTATTTAAATTTGTAGTGCCTACGAAGAAATTACAACCAAATTTATACCTCAAAAATACTTTCTCCATCCTGTATATCACAAATTTGCAACATTGATGCCCATAAATAATGACACTATTCTAATCAACTTAGTTATTTATGTGTACAAAGCAATACTTGTCAGACAAAATATTCTCAATGTATGAAATGTTGATGTCTCTCATGTATGTCATAGTGATATGGGCCTAAGGCCACTCCACGTCAGAAATAAACTTGACTTGACTTAGTCAAATTACATTTTTGGGGATAAGTACTGTTCGACCTTTTCTACACTATCAGCTAAATGTGCCCTGTATCCCAGAGAGAACTGAGACAGTGTTGCTAATGGTGTTAGTACTCGAGGGAATAGTTTCCAATAACGGTTACCTATACCACCAGACCCTGGCGCCGTATTTGATTTGGACGTTTTGATATCAGATTTTTCAGGCAATCAAGAAACTAAAATGGCGAGCTCAATTATTCATGTACATCATCATTACAATCCTCTACCCATGGTTGCAGATGCCGGGTATAGACTGAAGACGTTTTCAAAATGCTTCACTAGAATCCGTTGTGAGTCCTTATCATCAAAACCAAGGGATTTAATTGCCTTAAAATTGTTTTTCATGAATATTGAACACAGTCGGAGGCTCCAATTTACGGAACTATGTCACGTGTATATGTGTCATTTATTTCCATTCATGGTCATCACTATTAGAGTCAATTCCTTAAATAGAATACAAAATGTCACGGTTTGGCCCGTCTAATTCCCCTTCCATTTCTTTTGATCTTCAACTAAGCCACTATCATTAAGCAATTACTTACAATGCTTATATTGGTCTGACAACTATTGATGGTCTCCTTTTAGTGTAACTGCATTAAATATATGTAAATCTATGTATCGTTGTTATGCACAAACCAAGCACGGTGCTAATGGGACGACTCTGCTAGGGCTATTATTACCCATGCGTTTCCGTTTTGTTTCGCTATGTTATCGCAAGGGGCAAACTAATTCACTTCATCAAGAATGGTGGCAACAACTCTTGCCCCTTAATATCCAGTCCGCATGCTATCGTTGGGCAGCAACGATAGCTGACAAGCCATAAATATTCCTGGGATGCCTAAGCCGCCCACGTCCTACAGCGTATGTGTTGTTTATGGTCTTGTTTTCTTTCACAGCCACACCAATATTTGCGTAAACATGAAGGTCGTGAGATCGGCATATTTGTACAACTGATATCACGGTATCTTATTGGTTGGAAGTCCAGCTCAATGGCAAGAGTAGCCTGTCTATAAAGGTCATCTGAAGAATGATATCAATAGAATGACTGTTGGTGTTCTTGGTATACGTGGACAGCGGGTGGAGAATTCGATGTGAATGGTTGCGTCCCTTGATCACGCCAGGAATATGTGATCATGTTTCCATATTTCCGATTATGTCTGTGAGCCAGTATCATACCTATGCCTAAATTGTAAACGTTTGAGAAGTGCACGACTTTTTGGGCTTTCCTCGCACTTCAAAGTGACACGTTTAGATGAAATTTGAATACTTTTCAAAGCGATGTTAAATCCAAATCACTAACTAACTGAGTGAGTGAGTGAGTGACTGACTCACCGACTCACTGACTGACTCACTGACTGACTCACTCACTCTTCGTATTCTATCAAGATGGTCGTTTAGGGTCTGGAGTTATCACATATTCTTCATCCCAATGATGCTTAATACTTTATGTTTTAATAGTGTTATTTGCAATCTCATCAAATCACCTCACACTTGCCAGATCCCGAGACGTAACTGCACAGCGATTTGAAACTGGGTGCACATGATAACAATATTTTTTATTATGCGGTTTTTTTATGTTCCAGCATCAGACATCGATAACTGAAAAATGTTCTTGGAGCCAGTAATAAGGATACGTTACACGTTCGACCGCGAGTATGAACAAATAATATTGAAACATTACCTGAAATCAGTAGGAACGATCTGATGACTCCGCCACACGCATGCTCATTTTAAATTATTTTTCGTTTGACAACCAGCAGCCAACTTGTCAATGAGACGAATGGTGCTGTGATCCCCACATGGCGTGTGACCATGATGTATTTCTCAAAGTCGAGTTGCAGGTTAGTCTGTTGATATATCGATGTGAATTCGTAAAAAGCCTTACTCTCAAAGATCGATCTAACATGCAGAATACCTGCAGCCCCGAACGCTAAATCCGTTACATAAGTTAAACATATCTCCATCTGAACAGGAATGATATAAATATGGTTAATTAAGAACGCGCACAGTTGAGTGTGTGCATCTGACCCCGAGTTCACACGTGTTCGCGAGTGTGCTTGGTTCTTTGTCACCTGTGTGTTCGCGTGTGTGATTGCCAACAGGAAATATTCGGAGGAGTTCGCGTTTCGCCCACCACTCAAAGATACCATGAAAGACAGATGGGCAGGGTTTTAACGCCATTATGGACTAGGCCCCAACTAATGCCGGACTTTCTTTCAATACAGATAATGGTGATCGTATGCTTGTTTATACGGTGAGCGTAATGTGAACAGCGTTTTATTTTTGTCAAGAATGTCGGCGTAATGTATGGATGCTATCCCTTTTATCCAAGTTAATCACATGCTAAAGGGCACCCAAAGGAACATTGGCCTTTTTACCCATTTCCTCCTGAAACCATTCATTAAGTATTTGCGAGTGACTTTAAAGGTTCTGCTTTTAATTTACCATTGAAGATATTGATCTTAATGAATGAGATCTAAATAACATTGAACGTTAGATCAGATAGGCTGGTACTTAAAGTTTCATCAATGGCTCTGTGTTTCCAAACTTCAAAAATCTACGCACAGATGTTTTGCGTTTCGACTGAAATCAGAAATCGTCACCGTGGACCCCGGCATATGTTAGACCAAACTTCTTGAACATTGATGATTCTTCAGGCGGAATATAAGCCATAGATTCTCGATATTATTTTGCATCTGCTGGAATATGTTTATATTATTTTCACCTACATCGCCAAGAAGAACAACACCGGTACTTATAATATATAATATATAAAAAGGATTTATTTGGCACCTGGTATCCAAGCTGTTCAACGGCGCATCACAAAGTCTAGGAGATTTTTATAACCCCGGATAACTCATCGCTATCAAGAAAACTATATACTCTTCCACAAACATCCACAAATACAAATGCCCTCGTGGCACGTAATTTAAAGATAAAATGTCAAAGCTGATCGTGAACAGTTCATTCCCTTCAGAAAATATCTTTGTGTCTGTAAAATGTTCTGTAGGCGGTGCCAAATGATTTATGATATCTGACTTCTTATGTGGAATCGCGTTAACAGAATTGACGTTTATTACACAAAGCTGTAAACCAAAACTGGTGAATATTGACGTGATTCTAACACATTAACCAATAGCACAGTCCCCGACTTCCGTATATCTTGCTCGGCATAATTGGCAAACGAAAAGAGTCTTTGTCCACTCCATGAAGGAAGCTATTGGCTCTGCTTTTGAATCCACACCTAGCCATATATCCGTGATATCAATCTAGTAATGCAATAGATATTCAATCAGCTACAAATCAATAGGCTTGGAGTATTCCGGTTTTGCGTAGTCTCGCTTTCTTAGCTATTGATCTTCATCATTGTACGGCGGAGCATGTCGACGACACTTCTGTTCAGAACGTGATTACAGCGAGATGTAGCAGTCACAGGCGTCAAGGAACTTCTAAGAACAGGATTATAAGTTCGTGTTGGTGATTACCGTGACTTTTAGCCATTGATATGATATGATGTACTGGAGATGTGTGACGGTTTACAACGTCATAGTCAAACAAAGAGGAACTTTGGAACGTTGGAATGATTACTGCTCCCCTTGGCAGATTATGGATACACCGAGGTTCGTTTTATGTAAATACATGTGGAATGCATGTCGAATTCAAAATATGAATTCTTGGCTTCAGTTTTGAAGATGAAGGACTAATCATCAGCGAGGAACAGTTAGAGAACGTACGTAATGTTTCTGTTTATTTCAAATCAGTCACATCTGATGTCTGCTCTGGTTTTATTTATATTTATATACTATATATTTTTGAATATTCTGTTTCATTTCAAAGACGTCACTGCAAACTAGAATTAGAAAACATGTTGTAAATGACTGACGTGTTGTTTAAGGTGTTAACGTTTATGATTCTCTGTATGCAATGCGATTATCTATACGTGATATGTTGTCGTGTTATAGTTTCTGTTCCGACAACATAAGAATGAAATATCGACACAGTCAAAAGATGTTAAGATTAAAGATAATTTTGCGAGGCAACTTGACGATCAATTGCATTTTTCTAATAATTTTTGCATTGGAAACGAGTTTGAAAACTAATATAGTTAAAATCCTTCCCAAAATGTTAGCTATTAAAATAATGATGGGATGTTACTCTTTTTTATATCAATATCATATTATTAATTTATTTATTAAACGTTCATGGGTCAGATTCAGTTTAATTGGTTGTCTTTAAATATGGCCACGAAGTAATTGATTTATCCCTTGCACGATACGTTTCTAAGGTGTTAAACATTGGTACATTGAGAGGCAGTTGTGGTAGTGGTTGTCTACGTCCCGTTGAACAAACGTTCTTTATGGTAAGCCGATGATAAAGTATGAACGTTACGACAACCTTAGAGTGAGTGAGTGAGTTTAGTTTTACGACGTTTTTAGCAATATTCCAGCAATATCACGGCGGGGGACACCAGAAATGGACTTCACACATTGTACCCATGTGGGGAATCGAACCCGGGTCTTCTGTGTGACGAGCCAACGCTTTAACGACTGGGCTACCCCACCGCCCCACCACATTAGAGCGAAGATCGCTTTGTTGAACTGAACTCTGGTCTGTCTCCTCATCATAGCAGTTTCTAACGTTCGAGGGGCGGTGGGGTAGCCTAATGGTTAAAGCGTTGGCTCATCACGCCAAAGTTCACACCCGGGTTCAAATCCCCACATGGGCACAATGTGTCAAGCCCATTTCTGGTGTCCTCCGCCGTGATGTTGCTGGATATGTTGTATTACCCACTTGGTCAACGTATGGGTAGTTGCATACTAATCTCGTACGTCACACCAGTGTCGTATCGCGTTGTCGTAACGACTTAACCTGAGATTCTAACGATTTGATTGGATAACCGATGACCTCTCAGTTAGGTCACGTTGTGACGGAACTGCTTGTTCATTCAAAACAAACACGTGAATTCATTCTTATACAACTTAGATGCATTGTGGGAATGTAAACATTGCGAACGTTGCCGTGTCGCTGTTTAATTGTGAGTCGAACTGAGACATTATATTCGTCGAAAAACATAAACGCAACTCGTCACCTTCCTATGGTTTCTGACCTCGCTGTCGCTCGGTCAGATACCATAGGAAGGACACTCGTTTCGTATAATTCGTATGTAATGAGACCGAGCGTAGTATTCTCTATGTCCGAGTTTGGAAACAAGCACAACATGATGACCAAATAATGATTACAGAGGGATCCAGGTTTTCCTTCGAGACAGGGGCGGCGGGGTAGCCTAGTGCTTAAAGCGTTGGCTCGTCACGCCGAAGACCCAGGTTCGATTCCCCACATGGGCACAATGTGTGAAGCCCATTTCTGGTGTCCCCCGCCATGATATTGCTGGAATATTGCTAAAAGTGGCGTAAAACTAAACTCAGTCAGTCAGTCAGTCCTTCGAGACAACCGCTAGTTTGATACAACAAACTTCGACACAATGTTGTTCGAATGTTCTTGTACTTGGACTCATAAGCCGCAATGTGCCAATGTTTAGCAGTCTACCAGCCATTGCCACAAGATACGCTAGGGTATGATCCAAATGGAATTAAGGTCGTGGTCGATCGGAAGAGTTGCATAACCAGAAACCAGGATCCGCGGATTGTGTGTTCGAACAGACATGTCTACATTGCGCTGCTCAAGTTTTGAAAATATTACAGGTTCGTGTCATCCGCCCGTTCACTATGTACTTTTAGTTTCAGAAACGTATCCCATATGTCTTTCCCTAACAACACAAACCGAAGGGTATATGACTCCAATCACTCTAAAGGAAGGCATCTGTTGTCAGGATAAATACAACGAAATCAGTTTCTGGCAAGTTGATTGCCTGTTGACAGACATACGTAATGATACTTCTTATTCTTATTCTTATTCTTCTCCAATACTCTGTCCGCCATTTTGTGACATTACAAAATGCAGTTTTAATGCCCGTATGGATTTCTGTTAGTGGTGATGACCTTGACCTTTCCTTGTGCAGCGCATCTACGACGTGGTACAAGGCTCAGTCCCATCTCCTTCCCAGCTGTAATGTCGCTTTGGTCTCCTGTCTCAAGAGGCTTGGCGAGCACGACCTGCTATAATTAGACAATAACCGACGAGCTTCAGTACATTACAGGTTATGTCCCGAGTGAATGAATAGAGTTAATCCCGAGTCTTTGTCAATGGACGTACAGCATCCAGTCACTCGGGACAGTCAATCCGTTATTCCGGGTTCGGAGTCAATTTCCATGTGTTATTCAGGGGCATTTTATAAGAACAGATGGATTACGAAACTCATAACTCAACCATACATAGCAATCGCATCATTTTGTTCAAATGACGTCATGTGAAGTCATGAACCATAGACATCATATCGTATTTTGTTGAACAATGAAACGATGTGACATTATGGCTTCGAAAGACAAATCCTTTTTATGAGTCGTTATCGAGCACATGTTAAAACACCGGACATTTATTGCACTCGGTCTGTCATGGCTGATATTAATATTTCACTCAAAAATATTATTCATTCACGCATTGGATATCATATGCTGTATGTATAATAATTTCCAGAGTTATCTCTCTCAAGTTTGATACTCTTCCGGATTTCATGGCGACAAGATATCATAGGAGAGGGTGTTATGATCTACGATATAGCTAAGCAAAATTGTTGCCCCTAGCTGTGTCCGGATCCGCTGATTGTGTACTCGAATCTCTGACTCGCTGTGATTATGGTTTTCTTTTCGTCTGAACTGAACTTTTATTTCTGAACTGAACTTTTATTTCTCTCAAGGCTACATACATAGCATAATGAGGGTTTACAGAGGTCATGCAAAGTAAGTAATGGCGACATAAAGTCTATTTAAATTGCATAATATAGAGCGACTAAAAGTTGAGAGTTTGATCAAGTCCGAGACATTTTTACTTTGAAATAAACCTATCATTTTAAATACAGATGGTCTCTTGATGCTCAGTGTTGGAAGTAGTTTCTTTCTCAGATCGTTGAAATAATTACAATTAAACAAGTAGTGGTATTCATCTCCAATATCATTTGAAACACATAGGGTACATTTTCTATCAGAAATATCAGTTTTGTACCATCTACCATCCTCAATCGGTAATCGATGACATGATAATCTGAACAATGTTAAAGAAATTTTATGTTTATCAGGTCAATGTAGATACATTTCTCACTAAATATAATACCCAGATATTTATATTCATCAACATTCCCTAGGTAAGTATCAGAGATTGCAAATTTATGACAGCACCCTGTCCTCTGATTTCATAGACATGGCTATACCACGCATTGTTTCGAGCTTTCCTCCAATATCAAATAACGCGGTCTGGATAAGTGCAAGAAAACGACGTATTGAACATGGCGTCAAACTAAACATGCAACGTGTGTTTGACGTCATCCAGATACTGTACTGTTGTTTGAGGAGGCGTACTGAAGACTAATTAATGCGATAAGTTGTTAACGGTTCAAAATACTTGGAATCAATGGCTTGCACTTGCTAAAAGGTTCGTGTCGATTTAATGTGACGCTACTAATTAAACTAATCATGTATGGCATGTTTTTATCATGCATCGCTAAATAAGCTAGCACGTTCACAGTGAGAGCCCCCGGAGGTCAATACGCCACACCTCGAATCCTAGTGCTGGGTACAGTAGTGTGGAAGTCGCGGTGGTTGCGTGGGTTATGCGGTTGACTTTGTGTGCTGATGATTAGGTCCTGACTCCGACGGTATGGGTTCGAATCCCGGATGCAACTCAAGCCAACAAAAGTACTACAATCTGCACTTTACTAAGAAAGTGTAAGCCCAAATATAACATTAGTTACATTTGACCACTTTCTAAATGACATTGTGTATTCATGATAAATATTGATTGTGATAAAACAGCGACTGCAAACTGTTCTTTAGAACAGATCTATTCAGATTTGATTTCTGAATTTGTGAGATAAGTTACAAATTCAAAATAAAGCCACAAAACCAAATTTACAATTTAAGGACCAACCCATGTCCCCAATTGTGTGGGGAAGCACTGATTATCGCAACTATGTATATGCAGTTCCCAGAGCTCATGAAATAACCAATATTGCCGATGTGACGCTAAATCTTAACTCACTCACTCATGAAATAACCAGGTTTCACATATATGACCGAGCGTCTGACACAACTCGTGAAACATTCTTCTGACAACATCTCTGACAAAAATATTTTGTCAGATTGGAAACTGGTTACCATGGTATCAGATAGTGATGATGCCTTTGAAGAAAAAGTATCTGTCAATGAGAAGGGTTGGTTGATGTGTTGGTTTGCTGTTTAATGCCGCACTCAGCCGCCTCTTACGACAAGCATGGGTTACTGAAGATCAATTCTAACCCGGATCTTCACGGATATTAAACGAGAAAGTGTAACGATCATGCAGGTCATGCTACCACTGACTCACACAGAATAAGACCCGACACAGAACCTTTAACTGGAACAACAACTCATGAATTTATTTACAATCATTACCTAATCATAACCAGCATCTTTGTGGTCTATGTCGGAATCATGGCTGCATTAATGTTTTTAAACACAGCTCGATGTCTGTAATGGAAAATATCGCTTGCTGACAAGTGCATATATCGACTGAACGATACTGTTTGACAACATCAATGGTACATGTTTCATGACTCTCAGTTCGATAACGATCCTGTAATCATGGTGTGTGCTCAACATGAACTAACTATCTAGTTCCCCGCTCATAATTATTATCAAAGCCATTGCGAAAGCGCGTTTTATATACATCACACGTCATTCGTCAGCAGACCTCTCCAGACATGAGTGCTTCTGCAAGTGCGTATATGTTATGCTCTGTATTACACCTACGGTTTCAAGCTTCAGTAAATACGAATCCACTTGTTCTATCTGTACACGTTACCAGGAAGTGAGAGGACGTATATAGTCACAGTGTCCATTTGTGCGTGACAATATGAGAATCTACAATACATGAGTGTCTTGGTTCTCTTGTCGCTTTGAACAGTGTTCCAGTGATATATTCTGCTGAATGTGGGAAGGAATTCCGAAGTAATACTGGTCGCAAACGGTTTGAAGAACACCTGATGTTCTTAACGCACCAACGCTGTGGTATCGATGTTCTAAATTTAACCACCGTTGTGGTGGTGTGTGATCCTGTGCACAGAGCTCAGATCACAAATTAGTTGAAGTTAAGCAACGTTGAGCGCGGAGAGTTCTTGGATGCATATCTGTGACCGTGTTTGGCAACTTGACTCCTTAGAGTTTCTAGGACGAAGCACATGTGAACATGTAGTCTCGACTTAGGCAAGAGAGTTTATTTAAAATTGCCTCTGTTCACCCACCAGAAAACGGGTACCCGGTAGGAAAGGCATGTGACGAATAACCTCACAGACGGCTTGGGTTATCCTAGGTAACAATAATAGCACTTTGAGCATATCCCTGTGACGGGGAAAGGCGCTATAGGAATGGCCTTAGGCTATTATATTAACTCAAAATAACTGTCGAAAAGCACTGAATACATGTTAGAAGCATTCCATAGAAAATATTGCTGAAACATAACACAAGTATATTTGTGTTTGTAAATAAAATGTCAACTGCAGAAAAAACAGGTATTGTAAAAAGACTCTCAACAGATACAGGAAACCGTTTGATTTTTATAAGAATGTTAACTATTTTTGCCAATAACTCAAATTACTGATAAACATTTTTGTTTAGATCAAAATGAAAAGCTCATCTGGACGAGATTATGTTTCAAGAGTTTAAAAAAGTTTTAGACATAAAAACGTAGGAATAAAATGAAAACATTCATGTTCCGTTATATCTTTGATGTTTTCCTTATGTGAGTGGGAAGTAATAAATTAAAAATGTTTTGTCCTTAAATAAGTGCCGACTGATGTTTGGATACATATTACAATCTCCATGCGAATACAAGAAATGTGTTAAGGCTTCACTTCGGGTTTAAACTAATCATGTGACCTAATATATATCTGGCATTGTGTGAAGCTTTTCATTTTGTGCAAACAATAATTATGATACACATACAGCATACAGGATACCTATCCACCATATTTGTTTGATACTACTAATACAGTGGTAAACGAGGACGTGACTCTTTTTCATAACACGGCAGTGAAGCTCAAATTTGCAGCAAAACTGACTCCTCTTGCATTTGTGTGGTATTATTTGGTTAAAGTTCAAAACTGAGTATCAGAGCAATTCATGTACAAACAAATACTACTTGAAAATAGAACACAATAATTGCGTGCGAGAACATGAAAAGACATCGATCAGAGAACTTTTCAATAAACACGTGTATTTTTCATTCACTTTGGAGATTGAAAAAGATATTTATTTACTTGCCTGATCATTGAATAGAATTATGCCATTATTACAATGCGCACTCTCATTTCATTCCATACGCTGGCTTTGACTACAGCAAACTAGTGATGAATATATATGAATGTGTTACTTACAATCATACAAGATGTAACGGTGCTATATAGTGTTAGATCTCATGCAGGTGGTCGTAACTTGTTTACTCAGATATTCATAGTATTCACAGAGTCTGGAACAATTATTGTCAAACCGTAACATATGTTGGAATGAAAGCCGCAGTGGCTTAAAGTCGTTGTGATAGTGATATCGGTGATAGTGAAAGTGTCCAAAACAGCTATTGCAGAACCGGTGGATTATGGCTTGGGGGTAGCATCCCTGTCATACGTGTTTGCGTCATTGAATGTAGTTTTCAACTTTATACATAATTATTTTACACCAACAACAATAGGCTGGCATTTCCATTTTAACAATAATGAACATTGTGTTTCTCTTTTCAGGAAAATGACTGACACCATTGGGTATAACACCAGTCTATATTCCTCTATGGCCTTTCTGGCACAGAGTGACGAGGACTTGTGCAACGGAGACGTCAACTGCAGTGACATCACGGGGCGAGGTGCAGGACAGAGAACAGCAATGGAGGAACCAATATGGACACCGGATGTTATTCAAAGAGTTGTCTCCCTTCTTTTCATAATGCTATTGACCTTAGTTGGAAACACTATCATAATCATAGTGCTGACTTGTAGCCGTTACCGAAAGCGCTACAGTCGAGTGAATATTTTTATCGTGAATCTAGCTATTGGGGATTTAACAGTGTGCTTCTGTACAATGACAACTGAGATTCTATTTGTTGCTTTTGGACAGTGGGTCCTTGGACCAGCTGCGTGTAAGATTCTCACCTACATACAGATCGTGACGTTGGCCAGCACGACATTCATACTGACGGCAATGAGCTTCGACCGATACATGGCAATTTGTCAACCGCTTGTGTACCGTGCCACAACGTCGCGTGCTAAGAAGATGATTGTGGCTTCGTGGATTTCTGCTTTTGTGTTGGCTATTCCTCAAATGTTTATTTTCCTCCAGACCGAGGATAAAGAAACGCATAAATTGAAGTGTTCCAGTGCAGGCTATACGGCCTGGTGGCAGAGGAAGCTATACTTCTCCTTCATGACTTCCTATATTCTTGTTGTACCAGCTGTGTTCATCTCTTACTGTTACATCAATGTAGTTCTTGTCGTATGGAGACAGGGAAGGGATATTGCAGCATCGAAAGAAAGCAACCTCACCCTACGGCGTTCGATAGCGGACAATAAAGCCATCCCTCGAGCAAAGATAAAGACGATTAAGATGACATTTAGCATCATTGCGAGTTTCATTGCGTGCTACACTCCTTACTTCGTTACGACCTTGATACGGGTGTACAGTGAATATAAGTACAAGATTCCCAAATCTGTTATGGCGTTTGCCGAAACAATAGCATTGCTACAGAGTGCTATTAATCCGCTTTTGTATGGAATATTTAACATCAAACTCAAGAGAGGATTAATGGAAGTTTTCTGCCCTAATAAGCTTATTCGGACCACCAGCCTGAAGAGTAACGGTATGACCGAGTGTATGTCTGTGACAGAGGATTATCAAGCCACGAACGCTAAACGACACTCTGCATTCTCAGCACGATATAGAGATCCCGCTTCAACATCAAGTAGTAGCTCACATGAAAGGGTGAAAGGTGTTATCATCACCGAGGAAAATAAAAATGGATTCAAACTCAGAGTAAGGTTTGCATCTAAAGATACCTTTTTGGGCGAACGCCATAGTTCAGACGGTGGAGAACAAAGATCTTGTGACGTTGCTCACATCAAGACAACGTGTATGTGATTCTAGGATTACATTATATTTATCGCCCCCTGTGAAATACTACTGACCATAAATTTAAACATCACATGGAATACCCTTCCTTCATTGTGATGTTATCTTGGAAACCAAAGGTGTTCTTGCAGTGCTCTTCGCTCAACCATGGCGCTATCCATGCATGTGACTTCATCTATATGCATGCCTTACATATGTAGACGATATTCATTCCGTTACTATAGCGCACACATGGTGCGTAAAACTAAGATGCATGGTACAACCATTCCAGATCAGATTTTAAGCTCTCTGTAAGGCGTAGACTATACTACGTCGTGCGCACAAACGTTTTATTATGAAACTATTTTATATATTATATGTATACCAACCCAAGACTTAAAAGTAACCTTACGTAAATACGTATAGTCCTTTTGCAGTGAAAACGTACCGATGAATTTCAATTTAAACAAAAAAGTAAATCGGATAAAGTGGAATTACAATTGCGAATCCTCATAATTTTACCTTGCCAAATGAACATTAAAATCTCAGAATTTTATTCAACTTAGGATAAAAGTTGTTTAACAAACTATCATAGTTTCAAATAGCTATTATTAGTTTGTATTACAAGGGGGTATGCACACCGAGAACAAGTACAGTTGGTCTAAGTTAACGCTCATCACGAACCGCACGTGCATTTGTTTCACTGTTCCAACTACTGCTCTTACCCCTTTGTAATACAAACCAATAATAGCGATTTCAATGTATGATCGTTTGTTAAACAACTTTTATTCTAAGATAAATAAAATTCTGAGATTTAAATGTTCAATTGGCAAGGTAAAAATTGTGACGATTCTCAATATTAATTTCACTTCATTTGATTTACTTTTTTGTTTAAAGTGAAATTCATCGGTACGTTTTCACTGCAAACAGACTATAAATGTGACCAAGGGATGAGAAAGTTAAAATGAAACACGAACGAACGCATTGATCCTTATCTGATAGACGTCACAATGGGAATCTGATATGTACGTGGTGAAACAATGGGATTGAACATTACTGCCCCACAATCGAACCCTACCATAGACGCATCTCCATTTCCTGACCAACTGACTTGACCTTTACGCAAAATAGACCCATTTACTTAAAGATATATGGTGATAGAAACAAAAGCTATATTTGTAACGGTGACGAGCCGGTAGATGCAGAAGTAGCAGTTTAGGATTTGTGTACATGCTCGAAATGGTTTTGCGTTGCAATACAAACTATTTATATTGTAAAACACATCTTATGATGACAGAGGTTCAAAGTCGTACACTGGTTATCAGCTTAAGGTTATATTTTACAATTAGAGTATTAAGTTATGACAATAACTAGGAACTGACATTCTATTGATTTTGAACAAAACATACCTGTCCAGAATGGTTTAACAATGCCATAAAGAGTACAGATGCGACGCAGACAAGTTGAGGCCAGACAGATAGTTCTCTTGCTGAAATATTGTAATGTGTGCCTTACAAGAACACCCCCAACCAATCTCACCATGATGCCATCCACATCCACATCTACATCCATATCCACATCCACTCCACTACCACATCCACATCCACAACCACAACCACATCCACATCTACATCCACAACCACATCCACATCCACATCCACAACCACATCCACATCCACATCCACTACCACAACCACATCCACGTCTACATCACAACCACATCCACATCACAACCACATCCACATCCACAACCACAACCACATCCACATCCACATCCACATCCACATCCACATCCACTTGCCAACCAACAAACCAGACCAACAACAACCACTCTACACCTAATTTCCATTCGTTTGAAAAGGAGGCAGCGATTAAGACGAATGAGTAAATTATCTTGGGGCCTTATATACTAACATTTGATGTTACATATATATAAGAGAATAACATGTTACTATTCCTTAACATGACTGTACGTACATAAAATATGCTTACACTAGCATTCGAGCAATCACTCTAAATAGTTCATTGTATGAGAAGAGATGGCTTCAGCAGAGAGAGCCTGTCTACAATGTTGGTATACAACGTTTGTCGACAGAATGGATTTGTTTCAGCCCTTCAGCCAAGGGTACAGAATCGTACCAACTACTACTACCCTTGGTCACGGATATAAGTACACGATTACCATTAGTTTACTTTTATGTAAGGTAGAGCCTTCGATATTTGACCATGTGTACATGGCATGACTTAGTATGCAAACTCCACGTATATTGAACATTGCTCAATGTTGTTTTGGTCTGCTGGTTCAGACAATGTGTTACCTGTGACAACGCTGGGTATCTTTCAAAATCAACTTCTGACTGTGTAATTGTTATTTCCTCTTCCAAGTAACTCCATGTGTTGTTGACTAATAATTCCTATTAATACAGTGATGTAAGTATGATGGATTCAAGCAACATTTTACCTTATCTACGTTATACCATTAAGTATATCAACTTTTCATACTCCCTGACATTCTGGTACGCGTGTTGTCCAATCTGACCAATCTAAGATCATGAAAATCAACAGAGGAACAATATTCTCTCTCTGTGAATACTGATGACCCTGTTAACGCTGTTGTTCGCGGTATATAGTTCATTTTAATTCCATGAAAGCACACATTTACTTAAAACATTGAAATAAATACATCATACACATTTTCAAAATATCATGATCCGGAAAAGTGGTTTGGCGGCTTGACCACCGTATGTCCACGCCCATGATCTTGTATTGCTTTGTCACAGTCCCTTTACTCTTACGATTTAACCTGAAAAGAAAGCTTACATTTGAAAATCGGATATGACCCACGAAATTACAGACGTTACAGGGCTGAAAACAGGCGCTGAAACACTTGAAACTTCACGTCCAAAACACAACTATGATTTAGGTACCAAATACATTACCATCGAAGTACCATTTCCTTCTTCTTGAATTTCAGCCACCATCGGATATTCCCCTATGCTTTCTTTTTCCGACAATCTTTTCAAATTATACATCTTGATGTACAAAGTTTACTTAATTTGAGGTATTCTAGTGGATTGTCGTGAGAAAATGTAAACGAAAAGCTATATTTTCTTATTATGGTTTACAATGTTTTGTTTTATGATGTTCTCAATCAACGACCAGTATGTCTTATACTGAACACCTTACATTTCTACTTGCATGTGGTGTCTTGATTCTGTTTTAACAATTCGTTAAAAGTTTATGATCAACTCCAAAACTTGTATGTTTCAAGACGCTATTGGTAAAAGTTGTACTCATCAAATGTAGATTACTTGGGCATCACAAGTTAAGTCCATACACAGTATGGTTTATAGGCTACTTAGGTTTCGAAAGAAACAAACATCATGGTAGAATCAACTTTCATACTTTATTGATTGAAATACTGTCACATGTACAAACAATGTATTGAAACACACTAAAGTGTCCATATTTCTGTTCCTAAGAGGAAAACAATAGATGAATTGGGTTGAACGTTGTTTCATCGGATTTGGTACATGTATAAAGTGATATAAGTACTGTGACTATGTGTCCTTGTCCAACCAGCTGTGAATGGGTACCTCGTTAGGATGAGAAAGCCACAATAACTCGGTGCGCCTAGTGGCTGCAAGAGTTGCATACCCCCCCAGGGAGTTGAGATTGATAACACTATGTGCCGTTGAGATTGACATCCAATGATCGAGGGAAAATATACCAGCGCCTTGAGCAAGCACTAGTTGCCTGGATATGTGCGCTATATAAATATCGTATAATAATAATAATAATAATATAAGATAAATGCTATTTCTATCAAAGTACCAAACATATAACTGAACATCTAAACTAGTTGTTCTTTCTAAGACAATGTCACATGGACAAATCCCATACTCAACGAAACCATGACAAATGGTGTTTACTGCTTCTTTTTATGAATTGTTATTCCCAGTGAGTTATATCGTAATAGTGGTTACAACAAGATACAGGTGATAGAGGAGCCATGCTAACATTACAACATGTGTTTGATTGTTTAAAATGCTAATAAATTGTTATTATATCATGTGTGTTGATAGCTATTATTTTGAGTGAGTATTTAGACGGGTGATTGACAATATTGTGTAAGTGGTTTTGCAGACAAGGACATCCTTCGAGAACACTTGTATTATCACTAACTGCCTGTGATAGTCACATATCATTTTCATCACTATATCATGTTCATCACATTACATCTGGTACGTTTCGACGTCCATTTGAAACCGTTTATTCTCTGGCATTAACGATTTCTATATTATCACAGAACTGTAGACGATGATTAGGATGATCAGAAGCACTGTCAATCATATAAACGGAATAGAGCATCGGGCAACAACAGCTTCAGACAACCGACTAATGCGAACTTTAATCACCACAAATCATCTCGCCGACCATACTTACTTCCTTGACACAGGAAGGTTTCTCCGACGCTCTCGAAAATATACAAAGTATGGGTCTGTATACAAACATTGAAGACAACCTCTACGAAGTGAGGTTGCTTGAAGCTTTTACATTGGTTTGGCCGATGATGGGGGTGCCGATCAAGATAATACTTTTATTGGGCTACTATTATGCTCCTGGCATACGCTATAGAAAAGTACATGGTTTGATTACCTCTTCGTATGAGACGAAGATTATGTGGCTTTAACCTTATTGTTGGGGTTGTCATTAGATCTGAAAGACCGTAATGACATGAGAGTCTGCATGTTCGACGTTGGTTGCTAGGGAGGTGGTGTTATTTCAAATATTGTTTGCTTTGCTGGATATAACCAGAAATGATTATTCATGATTAGGTACGGTGCGCCAAACAAGCCCCATGACTTGGAAAATCCACAATCAAGACCCAAGAATCAATAAATCACAGTAGTTCTTTTCTAGATTTTAATTAGCGTCATGTGTGTAATTGAGACTCGTGTGGGCCACAAGTAAGTAAGTATTAACTGTTAGATCGTTTTGAGACAAAATGAGTGAAATTTGAATACTTTGAATAAAATAATTCGAACTGATAATTGGTCCAGAACACTTTAAAAGATCATACGGATTACAAGCAGCATCAAAGCTATGTTGACAGGGGTCGCGTAACGCGTAATGCATGCAAGATACGTTGATGTATGCAGATGTAAGTCCTAAAACATGTCTCTGTATGAATAAATGGTCAGTGTAAGCTAAAACACACCAATGTCTATTGCATTTCTATTTAAAAGAATGCAGAGCAAATTGACACCAAATACACCAGCAAATTTTATCTAATTAGTCTTTTTCTTTGAGTGGCATTTAGAAGTGATACACATAAGGAAGAGAGTTTTATTGGCGTCAACTTTTGCATTAAGAGGAACACGTTTCGGAGCGTATCATCATTACTCCTTCATCGGGTGAATGAATGCCATGAGACAGACAGCATATATTTGTACACGTAAGGACAATAAAAGTAATAGAAAACAAAGGTGGAAGCTTA